CAGCAAGTTTAAAGAACTACCCGCATGTCTGTGTTTACTACAGCATAATTGACAGTAACTAAGAAATCAAACCAAGTATCCATCTGTGCAAAGAAAGCAAGGTATTCTGCAACTGCATTCACCCTTAAACAAAACAAAATAAAACAAAGAGGAAATTCTGCCATTTGCAACAAAGCAGAAGAACCTGGAAGACTTTATGTTAAGCGAAATAAGCCAAGAACAGAAAGGCAAATGCTGCACTCCCTCACTACGAAGACTAAAAGTCAAGCTTACAAAAGCTGAGAGTAAAATGATGGCCACCACAGGCTGGGGATCTGGGAGGGACTGGGAGATGTAGACCATAAGATGCAGAACTTTATTTAGGAGAAATGTTCTCTACAGGGCTGTAGTCCAGAATGGTGTCTCTAATTAACAGCAATGTACACATGGAAACTGCTGAACAGGAAGATCTTCAAGTGTTTGTGCCATATCACATGACAGTATGTGAGGGGATGTGGTCTGTTAATTAGCTTAACTAGCCATTCCACAATACAAACACACTCCAGACCATTGTGTATACTATACATGTTTATGATGCTTACTTGTCCGATTAAAGATTAAACCAGAAAAAAGAAAATGAAATCAGAAAAAGGTTTCAGGGTTTCACTTGTGATTGGCACTTTCTAATGCCATCCTCTGAGCACCATCTACTTAAAGCTGCCTTCTCCTCCACCCCCACCCACCACCCAGTCTTCTTTCCTGGTTTGTTTTTCTGCACGGCATTCATCAGAGCAGCTGTGTGATTTATACATTTGTCTGTTCGCACAGTTCTCCTCAACCCTGAAGTACGAGCTCCAAGGGTCAAAAATCAAGCCATCAGTTTTACTTCAGCTTCCCAGGTACCTACAATGGTGGCTTTCCATAAATGTTCGTAAGAGGAAGGGAGGAAAGAAAGAAGTAAGGGTGGGAAGAAGGAAAGGAAGGGCCCTGTTATATCTGACATGATCTCAAAGGTAGACCAGAGTGATAGACAGGGAAACGAAAGATTACTGAGGAAAACATAAAACCTAAAGACATTTGTACTAGCAAATGACAAAAATGCTAAATGTGGTGCCAAATGTCTCCCAAAGGTCTATGGGGTTGGTCCCTAGCCCATGGGGCTGCCCGGAAAGGAAGGACCCTTTAGAGAATGGGGCATCTAGGGAAGTTAAGTGATGGGGGCGCCCTCCCCAGCCATAATCAGGGTGCCAGCTATTTTGCCCCTCCATTCGCCCCCTGCTAGGATGCATGCACTAGCCTTGCAGCTCAGCCACAGGCTACCGGGCCAAGTAGTCACAGGCTGACACCTCGAAAGCCAAGAGTTCGAATAAAGCTTTCTTCTTGGGAGGCTAATTCTTAGTAGGTGTCTGTTACAGCATAGAAGACAGAAAATAACTATTCCAAAGTCCTCTCATTAAGAACTTGGGAGCGCATGATGAAGAAAGATAAGACAACTCTCTTCTAAATTGTTTACATTTAACAGAGAAAGCCATTGGTCGGCTCCCAACAGCAACATAGGAAGACCAAAAGAAAAATTCCTGTTAACACAAAACAGCCTAGGAGAAAGCTCAATGCTATGTTTAAAGAGGCAAGAAAAAGGAATTTGAAATAAAGTTCATAAGCCGAATAACAGGAAGTATGGGGGGGGGCGGTAAGGAAACATGTTTATCCAGTTCAGCCCTTCAGATTCCCATGCTCTCATATTTCACTAAAGGCCAGAACCCTGAATTGCCTCTCATTCTGCACCTGACTCCATGCAAACCCTGCACCAGTGCAGACTTCTGCTCATCCCCTCAGCCACCAGACCTCCAGGAACTGCTGGTTAATAGTCCTAAGGCCCAAGGCACACATATTCAACCACTATATTACAGGTATGCATCCAAAAGATGGTGCAAGCAAAAGACACAAGGTAGCCAACACTGAGGACTTAAATGCTCATCAAGCAAACAAAACATCACATCTAATGCTACACAGCAATGAACAGTCATGGTATCAATAGCACCAAAGAGTGTGAAATTTAAAAAGCTAGATACATATACTGCTTGGCTCTACTCAGACTGGGCTCAAAAGCCTGCACAATCCATCTATGGGCTGACGAGTCAAAACAACAGTCTCTTTGGCAGAAGAACTGGGTGTGAATGATGAAGAACACAAGACCAGGTGTGGGGTGATGGTGTTTTCTACTCTTGGGGCATGGCAAGGTTAGGCAATTACTTGTTAACTTGCTGATGTCTCAAACACCTGTGTCCATCTTTCTACAGTCCACGGATAGCTGTCACTCTATTTCTTTAATTTCCCTTCGTTTTTGGAAATAGTTTATCTCTCTATTTCTGAGGCTGGCCTGTAACTCTATGTGGCCCAGCAGGCCTTGAACTAGTAACCTTCCTGCCTCAGAACTCTGAGTTCTGGGTTTGCCACTCACTAAAATAGGACCTTGTTTACCTAGCCTCCACTCTAGACTGAAGCAAGGAGTGGCCTGCATGGAACACATTAGGATGGGGACAGGACTTGCTCGTTCTCGTCCTTCAGGAGTCAACACGTGTCAGTGAAGCTCTCCTTGACCTCCCCATGCACAGAGATCTCTTCCCCCCTACCTATCACCCACTCCACCTGTTCCTATCACATCTTCTTAGCACTTACCATCAAACACCATCACATATCCACCCATTGCATTCCTCTCCCACTGGAAAGGCTGACACATGCACAACTACACCCTGAAAGCAAGAAGACTACCTGGCATAAGCCTCACACAATACACAGCTGTTTGATGGACGTGTGTCCCAGGTGTGCCAAATGACATCTCCCAGGGTCAACACCAATCCCAGGCTAGCAAAAGGCAAAGTAGAAAGGAAGGACCAAAGAGGGGAGGACAAGACAGTGAAAAGTTCAGTTTTATACTTGCAAGAATAGCCCCAGACCACAATACTGATAGAGACTGTCTAAGAAAGCCTGGGAGAACCCATGAGTCACACAGACATTCTTCCATGCAAGTTTAAAACACCTCACAAAGCATGAAAGGTATAAAAGAAATCTACCTTCTGAAGGTTCTGATCCAAGCACTACAACACTTAGCTATGGAAGTAGGTCATTCCTGCACTTGAGTTTGCACAGGCAGATACTTGGAAAACTGTAGTATGACTCACGTCGAAGGATGTTGCCAAAGTCTTACAGTGTATGCACTTACAGATGAAAGGCGTTGCTTCAAGCCACAGTACAGGTGCCTCATGACCCTAGTTCCTTCTGGTACCGTTAGGATCACGAGGCAGCTGTACTCTGGAAGGCAGAGAAAAATGGGGTATTGAGAGCACTGCGAGGTGGACACGGGTAGAAAGGGGGAAGATGGTGGACCCTGACATCCTGAAGGAGGGAAAAGGAGTGACCTGAAACAGTGGTGTCCTGGGTCCTGCAAGCTGTGTCTAGCAGAGAGCCTGGAGCAAGGGGAATGCCTTTCGAAGGAGCCATCTTCCAACTGATCATTTTGAGTCTCAGAAAATGGCTTAAGGAATTAGGTTTAGGAGTACTTGAGTTTTGAACCTGGAGGCCACTTATTACATATCACCAAGCAATTAGTATAACAGGTACATGGCATACACCCCCTGCTACAGATGCAAAAAAACACACAACAGAAAACTAGGGGAAGCCTGTGGCTCAGAGTCTCTTTAAGAATAAAGCCCTAACAACAGACTCATTATGTTTGTTCCTTGGGGGAGAACCTAGACACTTGTGTCTCTTTAACAACCCTATGTGTGCATAACTCTTCTTTAAAGCCCATTACACGTCTGTCTCTGGTTTTCCTGCTCACTTCCCGATGCTCACTGCCTTAGCAGTTATTCCCTGTGGAACTGGTAAACCAGTAATCCCCAGGCTCAGAACTTCTTAATCATCTCAGATGTTAAAAGCTTCCTTGGAACATCGTTTTTTACTTAAGACACCTCGTCCAAACTAAACGGATTTAAGTCAGAACGGAATCATCCTATGGAAAACAAGGCTAGTCAACAGGGCCATTCCAACAGGACAGCAAAGAGTGATAGTGCCTGCATTAAGTATGAGTACCTGACAGAATGTTAGAACCGGACTGAAGGCAGCCAGGACCGCATCATCTCCTCACCCTGCGGGGCTGGAAGTGTTGCATGATGGTTAGCGCACTGGCCTAGCGTGCCAAATGCTCTGGGTTCAATCCCCTACACCACGTCACATCTTGTCATCCCAGCCCTCACACGGGAGAAGAAGCCCAGGCACCAAAGTCAATCTCAGCTACATCTCAAGGTCAAGGCCAATCAGAGCTGTTTGAGACCGCAAAACAAAACAAAACCTTCTCTCCTCCTTCTGTTTGTAGGTAAATTGACATAAGTGCCTAATACTCCAAGGGGGAGAGCTGCTGTTTCATTGAAGAGCATTCTTAGAAATTGTGTCTTTCTACCCAGTGGCCTGGGGCTGGATGAAACGGCCGGGCAGAAGTGTGAGTGAACGCACAGGGGCCTTCCACCTAGTGAGCATGAAGCTGCCACCGACCTCGGCCAGGACGGAAACCTAGTGAACCTCACCTTCTCATTCCTCGATACCTTCTTGCATGAATCCAGAAACTGCAGTTTCATTAGCAGCTTGGTCGTCTTACTAAACCCAGTGACTGACCCCGGTTTTGAGGCTGGGTTTTTTAAGTTATTCTGCTTTTAGACATGCAAACAAAAGAAAGGAATGAACCGTGCCAAGGGGGATGACAGGAGAAAATTGCACTGTAGCCACATCATAGAAAATGACAGAAAAGGGGTAGGCAGGGATGGTGGTGTTCTTCTGACTGTCATCTGATCTCAGAGCTATAAAGTACAAGATCAGAGCACCTTAGCTGTCAAGTCAACAATAGTCTCCTGAGGTGCCGCCTTCTCTAACAATGCAGTCATTTTATAACCTGTCCACGGCCAGGGAACAAGAGGAAGGAAGGATCAGGGACAAGAAGGAAATGCAATCATAGGAAGGCTACTTACTCTTCCAGGAAGTGCTGCTGGGGTCCGATGATGGAGCCTGGTCGGCAAATTCTGATCCAAGCAATGATTTCAGCATGTGTAAACCTGTAGTGTTTCATGACATAACAGGCTATCAGAGTCCCGGTTCTTCCCAGACCAGCTGTAAAAAGGGGAAACAGAAAAAAATGCAAAATGTAGCATCTCTACCCAAAAAAAAAAAAAAAAAAAAAAAAAAAACAGGGGAATAACCCTGTCCACAGACTGCACCGGATTCTAGAACAATAATAGCAGCAAAGGCTGATGTTCGTATAATTTCTCTCATGTAAAAGTACACATTTTCCCCTGCCAGGTAATGGTGGGATATGCACCTTTTTAATCCCAGCACTCAGGAGGCAGAGGCAGGCAGATCTCTGAGTTTGGGGTCAGCCTGGTCTACAGAGTGAGTTCCAGGACAGCCAGTGATACACGGAGAAACCCTGCCTTGAAAAACCAATGAGTGTGGGCAGGGGTGTACATTTTTCAGGCTAAGAGACATAGTTTAAGGGCAAAATACCTGCCAAGCATGCACAAAACCCCGGTTCAATTCCCAGTGGAAAGAAAAGGACACAAAAAAAGGACACAAAACAAAATCTCCCACATTTTTCTTTAACCAAAAGAAAATGCAAGTTGCACTACATTTTAGGGTAAGAAAGTGGCATGATAGAAACAAGTGAATCTTGTTTCTAACCTTGAAATTCGTTCTTGAAAACACTTCATTAGAAAAGTAAATAGAAAAGCAAGATATGGCAGCCCACGCTTGTAACCCTAGAATGGAGGAGGCCTAGGCAGGAGGGTCATGAAGTTCAAGGCCAGCCCGGGTTAAATAGTGAGACCCTATCAGGAAGAAGTGGGGGGAGGGAGGATGAGGGAGACAGCGAGACAGAATCTACTTAATAGCTTTGCTTACGAATAGTCTAAGGCTGGGGCTGTGACTTAGTGATAGAGAGTTTGTTTTGCATGCATGAGCTCCCAGGTCCAATCCCTGGTGCTGTATTAAACAAATAAAACTACTGACTTAAAGAAAAAGAATATTGCATTTCAGGGGTCCCTTTGCCAGCTTTCCTTGGTCAAAGAATAAAGATATTCTCATCTCCCAGCACTATGAAATGTACATATTTAATCAATATCAATAATCGATAATGTTCAGTGGTGTGATATACAATACTGCATATCAATTTTTAAGCCAAATCTAATTAAAGAGTGCTAAAATAGAGAAAACTATTATCTTCACATCCGTTTTCTGTAGTTATTTTGGCTAAGTTACATTTACCTATCTGGAATGGGATCAGACAACACTTTCAAGCGTCGGTTATCTCCTGCACCGTGTGGATCCCACCCAGGAATCAGGTGAACAGCCTCGACTGCAAGCACCTTTACCTGCTGAGCCGCCTGCCCTTATTTATATTACTGCTTCCCAGAAGCATCTATAGACATTTCATTTCTAATCACCCACCATGAAATTGCACTGCTATACGTACCTATACCCTGCTTGTAAATCTGCACTTTATGTGGGAAAATATAAAAGAGCACTTTACCCAACACAAGCAATTGACAGCAATACTGCTTAGAATGCCTATCAGCCATGAATGTGAAAGGACAAATGATAGTCATGTTCATCAACCATGGAAATGAATGGACAAACGATAGCCACGTTTATCCAGCCCTTAGTTGCCTGGGGCTGCCTTCCCATTCACCTTTCCCTTTTAAAAAGCACATAAACACTGCTATTAGATGAGGTGTGTGTGTGTGTGTGTGTGTGTGTGTGTGTGTGTCCTATTTGCCTCAAGCACCCTTTGTCCCAGATCAAACATCAACATCAATAAGAGGGTAAAGATAAACACAGCCCCACTGGACTCTCGCTTTAGTATGGAGACACTGTTAGAATAGTAGCTGACAAGGCTAGTGTGATTTTGCATAGAGAAAACGCAGAGTGGGCACCAGAACCAGCAGGTCTACAGCATCTCCAGATTGGGTCTCTGTGTGCAGAGCAGCTGGGCTTTTTCACGGAGACTCCCCCAACTGCTCTTCACACAGTGGGAGAGGCCTGGTGCCCCCAGTCAGGTCCCTAATCCTACTCACACCCAAAAGGTGGTGCTGCAAATTTTTCAAGTTTCTCTGAAACTGAAGTTGCTTCCCCCTTTAAAAAGGAGTCTATAATTTTAGGTCTATAAAAAGAACCTACTTAGCACTCAGTAGTTGAGCGCTCTTACCACAGTGAACAGAAGGAGTACTTCACTAAGTTTCTATTAAAACTTTAACAAAAATGTTAAAGCATCTGTAATTAGTGGGCTCCCTGGCACACCCTGACAAGGGCACAGGGTGCTCTATTTGTACTAAGTGCCTTAGACTGCAAATCCTTTTAATGATTCCCAATAGGACATCAATATGCCCACAACAGAAAGTTGCGGTATTTTAGATTAATATTAATGCCAGAAAATGTCTCAAATTCACAGCCAATCCTTTAATCAACCACAGACACTGACTTATGAATTTCATACCTTTGCAACAAGGCTGTGTCTAATGCCCCTGTGTGGCCCTGTTTGTTGACATATGACATTTTCATTCTCTTTCCAGTCCCCATGGGAGTTCATTTAGCAAAGGATAGGAGGCTCGCTTCCATGTCTTTTTAGTTCAATTAAAACACTAAGTGCTGCTTGAATCTCCAGAAAATTAAGCTGATTTAATCAGGGCAGATGTCAAAGTAATTAGCAAGCCTAGGTAGTTAAGTACGCCATTAAAAATAAAACATGTGCAATTAAACCAAAGGTGCAATCCTTACAAAAGAGCCTACATGTGTGAATGAGTAGGGAAGAGGAAGAAGCCATCTCATATTTAAATAACACCACATGCAAATGGGACCCTTCCTCTACAAGAACTCACTTCAACACTACAAGCGTGATACTGAAAATAAGTGGGGGAGAGGAAGGAACACCTCTGCCATAGGTAAAAATGTATATACACTTCTTAAGAGGTCAATATTCACAAGTGATAAACAGAGAAAGGCTGTAACAAGAATATTTAACCGCAGGGTTTTTTACCCAGTGTTTCTTAGATGTGACACGCTATCAAGAGAGAGACACTGTGCTTAAATGAAAGCTGTGCCTGGAAGACACTGCTTTCCTGGAGTCATCCACCACCTCTGGCTCCTACAATCCCTCCACCTCCACTTTCACTTAGCTCCCTGAACCTTGGTGTGTGTGTGTGTGTGTGTGTGTGTGGGTGGGTGGGTGGTGGGGTAGGGTGGTGGGGGGAGGGATTAAAAGACATTCCATTTACGACAGAGTGCTCCAAAGTATCCTACTCTCTGCACTTAAGGATCCCTAATCATTCCCATCTTCTGCCAGAACAAGACTGATGCACATGTCAGCCCACAGGGGCTGGTCCATCACACACAGAGACTGGGCTATCACATACTCACACAGAGGCTGAGCCATCACACACTAACACAGAGACTGGGTTATCACACACTCACACAGAGGCTAGGCTATCACATACTCACACGCAGAGGCTGGGCTATCACACTCACACAGAGGCTGGGCTATTACACATTCCCACAGAGGCTGGGCTATCACACACTCACACAGAGGTTGGGCTGTCACACACTCACACAGAGGCTGGGCCATCAGTCATTCACAAGATCTGCCCAAGGGTCAAGCCAGTAAGGGCCCAGCACGGGGATAGGAGGGGGGAGTAAACACAGGGTCCCACCCATAATCAAGAAGCAATTTGCAACTGATACCTTCAGCAAGGGGAAAATCGGTGTTCCCCAGTCTCAATGTATATATTAGCCATCCTCGGGGCAGGTCCCAACCCCAGAAGTTTTTGGGGGAAAGGACTTTTGTTTCGTTTTTTTGTTTGTTTGTTTGTTTTTTGTTTTTTTTTGTCTTACTGGGCTTTTCTTTGTTTTGATTTTCATTTTTTGTTTTCTTGTTTTGAGAAACAGAACATAAACTTGGGTGGGTAGAAAGATAAAGAGGATAGGGAAGGAGTTAGGGTGGAGACATGATAAAAAATACTGCATGAAATTTTTTTTAAAGAAAAACAAATGAAAGCTGTGTCTTTTTCTCCCTTGAAATTGTTGATCCAAAATATGGCTTATAAACACATAGACATAGAACCTTGTAATAGCAAAACTAACTGACTAAGGAAAGGCAAAATAATTTTGCAGGAAAAATGCTGATTTTTTTATTATTATTATTAAATAGAAAACTGAGCTTTGAAAGAGATGATAGAGTATCTCCTGCTAAACTTGCCTGCCACATTCCTCGAGCCCTCAGGCTCTGCTGAGACTTGAAATGAGTGAAAGGTGCCTTCTCTTGCATCTGAGCAAGCCTTAACAATATTAGGAATACTACCTTACCAGAGTTAGGGTCAGAGCCTGGACCTCAACCATGCCTCCTCATGCACACACACACACACACACACACACACCATGCCTCCTCATGTATGCACACACACACACACACACACACACACACACACACACACACACACACACACACACAGCCACAGCGCTTTCTCTCTCTAGCTGGCACCAGGCTTCAGCCTTTTCCTTTTCCCAGCATGAAATGCCTGAGGAAAATCCAGTTTCTTGGAGTCCATTATCTCAACAGCCTGATAGCCAAACACAGCCAGCACAAGGTTCCATTTAGTGTCTTCCTTCCTGTCTCCTGCGGGGAGGGTTGTAATAAAACAAACTTGGGGTGCCTGTGAAACACATTCAGAACAAGACAGCTCCCTGCCTAGGGAACAGAGCCCAGAAGCAAGCGAGTGAGCACGGAGCACCTAACAATCCAAAGGACCTCCTGCAAGCCAGGGTCTGTGCCTCATGAATAGGGTGAGGGAAGAGCTGTGTCAGAGGTGGGTGCGGCCCGATTTCAGGAGCCGTCCCTAAATCGGGGGCCACGTGCGGTTCCCTTCCCTCTCTTCCAGGTTGCCTAGAGAATGTGGCTTCGCATCGCTGCCACAGCTCACATGTTCAGCAAAGTTCCTCCACCTACTCAAATCTTAAACATAGAAACAAGGGCCTACAAAATGGTATTTTAATTTCTGTCAGAACCAAAGCCACACTGTCTGAATAAGGCAGTTACAGCAGCGCTCTGCACATGAAAAGAAATGTACCATCCCCAACACCTACTGGCCGATTTGCATAAAATGCAACCAAAAAAAAAAAAGAAGAAAAACCTTTGTGGACACAAAGCCGTGTGAGCAGCGCCACCTCGCGGCTCTGTGGAGAGCTGCGGGTGGCGAACTAGAGGCTCCGTTCCCAAAAATGGTTTGTCTCTGCTGCAATCTTGAGACCACCAAACTGGAAAACTTACAGTGGGACCTGAGCTTCTCCCGGCGTTTGGCGTTTACATAACTCTCAAGTTTAACCGGTAAGCCTGCATTCTGACTTGTGAAAACTAAGGCCTACCTCAAAGTGTCCATTCCGGAGGCTGGGTATTGCATAGCTAAGTCTTCACACATCAAGTAATGGGTGGGAACCCTGACCCTCCACTTTATAAGGCATTAGACTCAGGAGACGGCAGAGTGAGGGTAGAAGATGATAGAAAGGAGCTAGGGCGATAATCAGTAAAACACCTGCCGAGCAAGCATGGGGTCCTGCGATAAAGAGCCCCGAAATCCACAATAAAAACAAGGCATTGCAATGGCCACCTATAATCCAGGTGCTTGTGAGTGGGGAGGGTGGGACAGGAGAATCCCTGGCACTCACTGGACAATCAGTATAACCAAAAAAGGCAGACTCCTAGTTCAGCGAGAGACCCTGTCTAAAAATCAGCTGTTGTCGAAATGGTGCGCACACACAGACACACTTCAACACGGAAGCACTAAATATCAGATGGTAGAAGAGTATGGAGAAAAGATAATCAATTCTGAAGGAAAAGGGGACCAACAACGTTTAGCTTTTGACACGGTTCCGGAGGACGCCCCCATGTTATTTCCCTGCTCAGAATCAATGAGCCTGGGCTTAGAAAAGTTAAAAGGGCAAGCACTGGCTGGTTCAGAAAGCTGGGTCACAACCAAGGCGGTTAATCCTTCCCTTAGAAAGGGATTATTAAAATAGGCTCAAGTTCCAACTGTCTAATACGAAAAGAAAACCATCCCACTATTTTCTATCACTGGCCGGTCTTGCTCATCATTAGGTGAGGTCGGGCTCGCCCTTCCCAAGCACAGCTGGCCCCTGAGACCTCAAGCACACCTTTGCAGTGGACCGCGATCGCCCCTTCCGTGTTCTCACAGATGTTCAGGAACCTTCGCACGATGTTATCGCTGGGGGTGCTGCCGTCTATGAAGAACAGGTCATAGTGCTCGAAGCCAGCATCTGTGAAGCGCTTTGCCTCGTAGATCTTTTTGTTCAATCTCACGATTGCAGTCACGTTGTTCTTTTTGAAATACGGAAAGTAGGCTTCAGGAGCGTGGAGTGGGTAACCTATAGGCAAACAGGGGCAATCAGCAGAGAGCCACAGTTCATCTCACATAAACACTAAAAGTATTCAGATCTCACTCAGAGAGTGTCAAAGGTCACAGAGGAGTCATCAGAGCAGCTGCGGCTGACCTACTATAAAACACCAGAGGCAGCAACAAGGCAATTCTTTCCATATTGGAAAGAATTCATTAAAGATGAAAATAGCAACCTCTAGAATCTGAATCCTGAGAGCGCCATCTTGGAGCCCCCACCCAAAGGCAGTTCTGAAGTACTAAAATGTGTTGGGTAGTGCTGGGGAGATGGGCTAGTATTCCTCCTTGAACACTATTCTTTACTTAAATGCATTTCATCTACTGCTAAAGCTTTTGTGAAGCCCGAGGTACAATTTCTATCTATAGTACAACTCCCCCAAAAACAGGGTTATGATTAATTATCATTGGCAATGTCCAAACCACAGTATGTGAGATTTCTCAAAATTACCTCCTTAAAACAACAGCTGGGAACTGGAGAGATGATGGCCAAAGGGTCCCATTAGACAAGAGGAATAGGACCAAGCGCTATTAGTGGATAACATGTTGATTATAATTAAAAACAGTGTGCTGGACTGGATCCATGTGTTAAACTTGACATTCCACAGTATAGACATCGTTTTAATCAATATTATGTGCAGCATAAATATATGCCTCTTTAATTGAAGAGACTGGCACTTCAAGGGAAGTTAAGGGAGTAACTTTTCGTAAACATTTTCTTAACCATGAGCAAGACAATCTCCAGATTGTCCTGACATGTCCCCCACTGAGCGAGCATCATTGGGAACTTCAGAGGCAACTGGGTCACTGACCTGCTCTTGGCCAATCATCCACAGTGGGAATTTGGACCACTCACTGTAAGCCTTGCAGCCCCAGAAGCTAAAAAGACTAATTTCCTAACATACCAATCACTACCTATCAATCATTCGGGATTCATCCATTCAGGGCTCACCAATTGCTGGCAGATTCTTGGCAGAGTAGACTAGGCAAGTGAAATGACCTCACCAGGATGACGGGCTTCAGAGAGTGAGCCAGAGGGCTTCCATAGCTCCTGGCTATGTGTCCTGCTCATCCTGTCAATTGCATTTTCTCTAGGCTCCATGCCAGCCCTTTGTGCTATACTCTGTAATTCTAAGACCGTGTACTAGTCCATACGCATGCTATTTTTCTAGCATCCTTTTTGTATGCTCCCAAAGTAGGAGAGAGATGACAGGATGACCAAAGAAAGGCTTTCTCCTCATTCTGTCAGCCCTTCAGTCAGAATTCCCAGTTTAGCTCAGTATGCCCTACACAAGCCAGATGTCTTCTCTGGCAGCAGACCCTCAGTCAGGGTGTCCATTCCTCGAGCCCCAAATCTACACATCCAGGGGCACTCCCCTCAGAGCTCTGAGCACCCACAGAAGCTCCTCCTCCACATTCCTCAGCCCTCCTAACCCTCCTTTGCTTCTGTCATCACCCCCAACTGTAAGGATGCTTGTTGCCTTCTTTGTCTTTCTTGTTAGTCTTCACTGTGACCAACTCTCTGTACTAAACTCTCTGCATATGGCTGACATCAAGAAGCCTGACAACAAATGCTGTTGAAGATGTATGGAATGAGGAGCCCTTCTTCTCAGTGGGTGGGGTGCAAACTAGTACTGTCATTATGGAAATCCACATGGAATTTATCCAAAAACTTAAAAACAGATCGACCATACAACCTAGTGTACCACTCATGAACATATATCCAAAAGGACTCTGATCCTGCCACAAAGATACCTAAATATTCATATTTACTGCTGCCCTATTCACAACAGAAAGGATTCAGTACCAGCCTAGATGTCCATTAACAAATGAGGGGATAATAAAAATATGGTACCAACGTGCAATGGGATTTTACTCATCTGTACAGAAAATTAAATTTGCAGGAATAAAATAAAGATGGATGGATCTGGAAAGTATAATATTAAGCAAGGTGACTCACCCTCAGAAAGACAAACCATATGTTCTCAATCATCTGTGGGTCCTAGTTTGTAATATATACATGTTTATAGAAATGGACATACATACAAATAAAGCTAGAAAACTAGAAAGAAGACCAAGAGAGGGTGAAAAGAGGCGTTAAGTAAGCAGAGGAAAGGAGGTCAGAGGGGCACATTGACACTAAAGTGGGACCAGAGACTAGGGGGAGGTAGTAAGAGGGGTTTGGGGTATGGGCAGTAGGTGAGATGATGGAGGGCTGGCCATAGGCATAGCAGGTTGATAATGGGGAGCTTGGGTACCGTGGCAGTAGGTGAGATGATGGGAAGGAGACTCTACTCAAACACAGTTAAAAACAAAATAATAATACCATAATGATATCTAATCTTTGGTTTGTTTGGGGATATTTTGTTGTTGTTTGTTTGTTTTGTTTTGTTTTGTTTTTTGTTTTTGCGAGCCAGGGTTTCGCTATGACTTTGGAGCCTGTCCTGGAACTATCTCTTGTAGACCAGGCTGGTCTGGAACTCACAGAGATCTCCCAGCCTCTGCCTCCTGAGATCTGGGAATAAATGTGTGCACCACCACTGCCTGGCAATTTTTAAATTTTTTAAAATGAGTAAATAATTCCTTGTGGCTGGAGTTTCTGGGCGTGGCTCCCATTCTCCTACATGGCCCCTACAAATATACTATTTCTTCTGACTACTACCCATTTTCTGGTTCTCCAGCCTTCTCTTGCCATTTGCAAGCTACCCCACATAGGCCAATAGATGTCATTTTAGTTAGTCTATCAGAACTGTTTCAACTGTCTTCAAGGAGGAACACTAGCTGGGGAGCTCGGCCATGACCAACGAAAGACTGAGGCAGGACTGGAACCTAGGATTTACTAATTCCAGCCTGGCTGCATTTGTGCAAACAGGGAGCTTTCTTCCCATCTCCTGTGTGGACATGGCAATTTATACACAGAAAGAAAACATGTGCTTTCCACATACGAAAATCAAGTCTGCTTTCCTGGTGGTCTCCTTGGTAAGATATTTCCCCAAAACAGACTCAGGACAAAGCAGAAATGACTTTCGTTGCCATGAGGAAATAAAAGCTTTTTACCATATGGGGAATGGCTAAGGAAGGGAGGGACTCCAAGTCCATGAGATGCCCTACTTGACTGTGGCAGCTGCTGGGAGCCTCTGGCATGGGTTCCTGGCATCTCTTGAACCTTATGATGGCTCCTGCCAAGTTTGGTGCCTATCGGATCCCCCTACCACCAAGGTGTGAGAATTTCTGCCTATACAGGAATGTCCATGAAGAATAGATAGAGGGTTGAGCTAACACACCTCAACTACAAGAAAAATCATGGGTATCTTTTGAGAAAGCACCTGGGCACATTTGTAAACACATGGTATTGGGACACTGAGATGATGATGGTGATAACAATACCTAATTTTTACTCATCACTTGTTGGGCCCCCAGGTACCATGCAAAGTGCCTCATATGGATTATCTCATGAAACCCTAGTGTTACAGAAAAACTAATGCCTAGATAGCTTACTGGTCCATGCACACATAGTTAGGCAGCGTTAAAACCCTTAACTCAGATTCCAGCAATTAAGCCAGTGCCTACTTCAGGCAAGGCTCAACTCCACCCTATTAGTCGGGATTCCAAGTAAGAGAATAGCATGGGATTTTTAAAAAATAAAATAAAATAAACCTCTTAAAATGTCTTTGAATTAAATCCAAGAAAAAATCAAAATATCCTATGACTTCTTAACAAGTGTGTGGTGGTGTTATTATCGTGTTCCCATACTTGTTAGGAGGGACTAGTTTTAGCAATGTGGTTTCCAGGGAATCTACCAACCCAGGGCTAAATTAGGGTGGCTCTCCCAACCCTTACTCCATCTCGCCACTAGATGGCGCCATGGCATCAGTGCCCAGAGGAGAGAAGAACAGGCTAACCAATTTCCGAGCTAAGAGACTTCAATTCATCTCTTCCCAGCACTTCGTTTTAAAGTTGGGAAAGCGAAGCAGGCTGAGTTAAATGACTAGTCGTGTATGATATTATGTCGGTTAGGTCAGCAGGGATAAAAACATAATTGTGTAGCTGCTAAGGGACCTGTCTCCTTAAGGCATCTCTAGTTCTCACTTAGATGCCTGAGATGTGCATCAATTCCCCTTACAGGGAAGAAACTGATGCTTGGAGAAGTTAGAAAGCTCGCTGCAGGTCCCACAACCAGTAAGGGGCGGGGAGCCAGGCTTCAGCCTGCCTACAAGGCTTCAAATTTCTGGGATTCTCTGTCTCGAGCTTTCCTCCAACCCTTGAGAATGCGTGATGTGTATGTGGGGGAGAAGGGGGTGCAGCATTGTCCATTTAAAAACAGTTGTTTAGAAATCTAAAATCCAAAATGTGTGTTTCATTCTATAGTTATAACTCATTAATCGATTTGAATTTATTTGTTAAAAAAGGACTGCCATTGCTCCTTCCCCACTGCTGATACAGCAGGAGTCAAGGTGGCTCAATAGTTGTTCTGTTCACACAAACACACCCTTAAGACTCACACAGTGCTTTCTGCCTGGACCCCATAACTAGAAGGCTGCTTTTTGCTACCTCCTAGCAACAGCTATTTGATCAACTATTTTTTAAATCACAGCTTTTCCTTAGCTACTCACCATAGCTACATTGTAAGACCCTATTGCTGATGACACAACATACTTTGGACGGAGAACACAGAAAAATCAAGCTGGAACTGACTTGGAAACTTCCTCCCTGCTGGCTAACTTTCAAGTGCATCAGAAGATGCAGACTACCGTGGAAGAAAAAGTCCCAAGAGTCTCACGCAGCTGTGGACCCTGCAAGCTACAATACCAACCGGTCAGGCAAGATGTGTCCACCGTGTGCTCAATAAGTGCCTGACTCCAGACAACAGCTTTCTGTTTGAATTTTAGGTCTGATCCATGGGAGAGAATCCATGCCTGGTTACCGGGTCATAGGCCTGGGAGGCAGGGGTGTCTACTGTTGTCATTTTGCCGACTAGACACCTTGTCAAACTGCCTTCTAAACATTAGTTCAACCCCGTAAATGTTCTCAACCATGGTCAGAGAAGCTGGAAGAAGCAGGCAATGAGGAGATTCATAAATATGGTTAGAGGGCTAAGAATAAGTTGAGTGCTCAGCCCTAAAGGGGACATCTATGTCACTGAGAGAGAGCGTACATACACACACACATACATGTAACTAAAAATAAAATAAATCTGCTTTTAAAAAATAAAATATAACAGGGTTATAGCTCCGCATACTACAAGTTTAGCATTTAATACACCATTTAATTTTGAAAACTATGAATAAATATTCCTTAAAGGATATTACCAAAAGAAAAGAACTGTATATAGAAATAGAGGAAGTAATGAAATTGAACTAAAATAAGTGTTTAAATGGTAAAGGAGTAAATAACTTACCATTTTCAATTTTGCTTTTCGGATGTGGTCCACTAAACGCTAAAAATTTCCCTGGAACAATCCAGTTGAAGTCTCCATTTTCAACTCGCTGGCAGAATTTTGTGGAAAAAGAAAAGAAAGTAGTTTACAATTTTTATGCAGTTTAGGAAACCTTTACAAATAAAACCGCTTATCACACTACTGGTACTAGCTCAATGAGACTTACATGAAGGAAAACTAATAAAAGCTTCAAGATAGACCTGATTTACAACCTGCTATTTGTAAATTCTCTTAAGAAAAGTTTCTACCCCAATGACCAAAAAAAAAAATTAGATTATCTGAAAAAGTTATTTGGCTTAAAATAAATTTGTCTCTTGATTAGTCTACTACTATGAAATAAGGTGAAAATACTGTTTACTGCAGAAAAAAAAAAATAGGCTGTCACCTTGCCTCTTTCCAGTATCTCCTCCCTTTTTCTTCCTTTCCTTATGCTATTTACCCATTAGGACTGAACAGAGACTGGGTTACACCTAAGGCTTTGCAGGTGGCTAGAAGACTTCCTGTAATGCATTACAAACATTCACACCTCCACCCACCCTACTCCACCCCTGGCCCAAGTCTCCACCTTCATCAGGAAGCAACACATCTCCATAAAACGAACTCTTCCTCTGGCATATGGAGAGGGCCCCTGTGATAGGCGGCTGAGCCAAAGAGAGCCTGGACTCTTTAACGTGGGCTAAAGGCACTAGAATGACAGGCTCAGACCCACTGCTTCATTACCATTACCCATTGCCACTTCTGTGAAAAATCAAAACTTGGGTGGCCAATTCCTACTCCTAAAATCTTTCCAATCATAAAAGATATAAAAGAAACTTTACATGGCATCTCGAAAATGCATCCACTGTAGTAACCTAATCGTAATAACATAGGCTCTCCATGGGACCCTAAAACCTTATGGCCATATAAGCACATGTATAGCTATCTCTTTATAACAGTTAGAATAAAGAATCGAATGTACAACTTTCCATAAGAAGTTAAGCGGTTTCTTGTTTAAATAAAACAGTTTAAATGAATGATCCAAGATGCCCCCTTGAGTAACGGGTAAGCTTCATACACTGTAAAATTTCAAGAACAAACATGAGCTCCAATTATCAACAGACAAAAGCAATTCCTTGTCAACAATAGCAGGCAGTGGCTCTCCGTCTTCACTGTTTCTGTATCCTTGGCCATTATGGGGGTCAAGTGACTATACTGTACTACATCTGTTCGTTTCGATTACAGACATCTGTTAGGTTAAACAGTAACCCTTTATAATCAGTCACATGATAGAGGCAGTGAGCTTAAGTCACTGTAGTATATCATCGAGATAAATTCACTCACATTATCAACAGAATTGTGTTTGTGAACTTTCCTACCTAAAATGACAAGCATTAGGTAACAGTGGGCTCTTTTTAGCAGCCTGGGAAAGGTTTGTAGAATAGACAAGATTTGGGTCTTAGATTTAAATTTGAAAGACAAATAAAGCTCACTACTCACCAAACACAGTTAGAAAAACTTCAGGTGATCTACACTACAAGAAAAGCTCCAGACAGACAAACGTCACATTTCTAGAATGGATATGTTTAGATGTTGTAGCTCACCGTACTCTAGGATTCTTCAGTCCACAAAAAGATTTGATTTCTCTTGAGCAGCTGTTGCTGTTCTTAAAATGGAATTTGACTTGAAAGCGTGTATTTCTGCACTTTCAAGAAATATATTTGTGTCTATGGTGTACTACTCACAAATACTCTTTCCAGCTCAAATATTCAGACGTTTTACCATTACCATAGGTCCACAGAACATCCTTCAGGCTGACAACCAGACTACCAATATCAGTTGTCTAGCCTAGAAATATGTGTTTTCTACCATTGTATCATGTATGTTTCCCTAGAAAACATGTTAAGAACTGTAACTTGGTGCTACACACAAAATAATAAAAGGCATGCTTAGTGCTTTTATTTGGGAATGACAAATATTGGTGATGATAATAGCAAATACGAGCTACATCCCTACCATGCCAAATGGTACAGCTCACTCAGTCCCCGCAATAACTCCAACTGGAAAACACTGCTACCATCCCTCTGCCCACTAAGGAAAACATGCACTGAACTAGCTGTGTACCATCCAAGAGTTTCATTAGAGGGGAGTGGTAGAAAGAGTACTCTAAAAACTAAGGTGATGGCTGCAATATCTTTTTAAAAATTCATCTTAAAGGTTCGCCTTTTCTTAACCTCTGAAACAATGAATTCACACCGATCGTACAGCTTTATTACATAAATACAAATAGTGTCATGAAGCTGGACCCCTTGTGCATCATCAATATCTGAGTTGTTGGGTTAAAATTAAGTTTCCATGTCCTTTGGCTCTAGACAAGCAACAAACTCCAGATTACTGGTTAAGTTCTACTTTTGAATGAGAATGTGGTGGAAGAATGGGCATATCCAGTGTGGACTGATTGGGATGGGAGACACTGCCGTCAAGGGAGACAGACAGTAGGGAAGACAGAGCATGGGCCAGAGAGAGAGAGATGGGAAAGACAGAGAGATTGCTCCAACAGGCCAGGCCAGTGAGCACCCCTGCAGACTCAACCACAGGATGCAAAGCTCCAGCATGCTTGTTGATGTCATTTTAATGCTCAAAAGATGAGGCCCAGGAACAGCAGTACACATGTTGCTATTGAAACTTAAAAGCCAATGTGTTCAAAACACAGAAAGCGTGTTCAACCGGAAATCATGAGGTCCTATAATAGCAGGGTCCCAGAGAACAAAAAGATCTGGAAAAGATGCCCAGAGATGACAGGAAGGAAAACCCAAGAGCCACCACCTTACAGAGTGAGGAAGTAAAACGTTTTCACAATTAGAGATTGGCCACAGAATGGCCCAAGGAAGAAGACCAAACCTGGAAAATACCTACAAGGCCAGCACCTGGGAAGCCGAAGCAGGAGGCCTGCAATGAGTCCAGGCCACCTGGGCTACAGGGAGACCCAGTCTCAGAAAAAACAAAAACCAAAACACAAAAAGATACAGAAAAAGAAAACAGGGAAGGGAGAGAGAGGAAAGAAATCAAACAATAATTAAAGAGGAAGTGGAAAAAAACATGAGGAATTGTTTAAGACAGGGAAACCTAAAAAGTTTTAGAGACTGTAGCCCACGTGATCTGTAACTAGCAATGAGTGTGATTTATTAGCACATGTGGAAACCCTGGTTCCCTCCCGAGCAGCAGCTGTAGTGGCCAGGAAGGAATTTGACTCCCTTAAACTTGTGGCCTTCAAGTGGTGAAATAAATACAATAAGATGGCTCCAGAAGCATGTTTCAAATAGTTCTCATAGCCAGATCCCCGTGGGAGGTGTTTCTCTGTAATTGCTCCAGATGGCTGAGGACATGCCCACACACCTGCACTCGGAGGCCTGCTTGACCCCAGTCCTGGAGCAGGAGAGTACACGGTCCTGCCCACAATGCATGAGCAAGAGATCACAGACTAAGCAGCATCCAGATTCCATTCCAGTTTGCTCTGCAGAGCCACTCCCAAGCACAGCCTTGCCCATCACACAATCACTCCTGCTGTTTCCCTGAGATGAAAGACCTTACAAACTTCACTGCTTCTTATAGAACATGCTAAAGAGAAAACGCAAGAGTCAACATTCACTGGTTAGTATGACAGCTTTCTTAAATAACGAAGGACATGGTCAGCCTTGACATACCCCAGTCATATAATAAACTGTGTTGGCATTGCATACAAACCCAGTCTTAGATCTTTGTTGCAAATCACTGATTTTTTTTTTTAAGTTATAGTCACGTAGATGAGCTGATGATGAAAGAAAAGCATATCATTTCAAAAAGTAGTCTAAAGCTAAAATTACTCAAGTTGGGAGAATGTTATACTGAAAAGGTAGTCTAACCATAATGAATGTTCCTTGGAAGGTCACTGCAAAACTCAGAATGGGTTCCTACTTAATCACCTCAGTCTAGGGAGTTTGTTGTGAGATTGTGTCTCCTAGCAATATCAGAAGCTACACCCTGAAAGTCTCATCAACATGACTGCCTAAACGAGAGCTGAACAAGTACTATACCAATGAACACAACACACCAGACCGGGCAGAGAAAAGCCCATGAGGCTTCAACTCTACAGAAAGAACTATAGGCAACTGATGGAATCTTGGAATGGGAAGGGTGGTCTTCCCACACCAATTGGTTGTCTGAAGTAAAATGGTCAGCCCTGAAAACACACATACAGGTAGTATTATCTGGACTGAGCTGGTTATATTTAGGGATATATGTATATGCATATACACAGATGCACATGGTAATAATTAGGGATAAAAGAGGCCATGGATTTGAAGGAGAGTGGGAAGGGTACACTGAAGGGTTTGGAGAGAGGAAAGGGAAAGGAGAAGTTTTGTAATTAAATCAGAATCTTAAAAAAAAAAAAAACCCAAAAGGTTTTGGTCAGTTTCCACTGGAACTAGATAACACACGGTGCCTGAAATACACTGCCCTCTACTTTCAACATTTCGTTCATCTGCCTGTTAGTTATTTCATTTCCTAAACTCAACTCCAACTGACGACCTGAGGTGTGTGTGCTCTGCTAGTGGCTTCCGTTATTCATGCAAAGGCAAATAAGACACCATTTCTGCCCACACACGCACAGAGTACACGAAGACACAGATGTATAAACAGTGTCATCTATAAACAGCTCATCTACATGAGATGAGCTACACGGGCTGAGAAGGGCTTCCCAGTGAACCACTAAACAGAGTGACCCTTCTACCTCAATGCTCTCCTCCACCTCCATCCACCACGTGCTAGGATCGCAGACCACACACCGCTGAGCCAGTCTGCTGCCTAGGTTCTGGGAATCTAAACCTGGCCTCCATGCTTGCCTGGCAAACATGTTTCCGGCTGACCCATCTCCCTGGTCCCAGTGTTATTTTTTGAAAAGCAAAGTTTCCCTCATCAGAGTGGGCGGGGCCTAGGACAAGCAGAGGCCCCCATCTGCCAACAGGTGTGATGTGTGTTTACTTGGTGTTAAGCAAATATGATCAGGCTCACTGTGTGCCATGGTAAAAGCAA